CCTCCCTCCCTTCCTTCCTTCCTTCCTTCCTTCCTTCCTTTATTGTTATTATTTATTTTTACAGCCTGCGCCGATAAGTACACATTACCCCAGTAGCAGTCCAGGAAACAATAACGTATGTACTCCATAGACCACTCCATGTCCTTCCCTTGGCTATTATGTCTTTGTCTACCAGTTATGCTTGTGAACTGAGCTCATTTTATTTTCAATGGGAATGACACATGATCTTTGAAATGGGAGAACAGTGGATTGAGCGTGTGTGACGTTTTTTTCAAAGAGTTAAGTGAAGGGCTAGCTGTAATGGCTCATGTTTTCTTTTTTATTCAGGTTCGTGGTCTGACTAGTTCATTGGAAAGGAGTCTAGGGAACAACAACACCGGCAAGAAGCCAGTTGGGGGTGTAGCTTTACCTGGGAAACACGTAAGAATAATGACATAGTATCCTATCATATATCCTCATCCTATTCCCGGAGGGAAAGAATCACCTTTAGAACGGTGACTCTCAAATGGCTTTTCCTTTGAGCCAATGAGAAGACGAAAAGCCGCGCACCCCGTCGCAATGGAATGAGGAAGCCATTCGAATGTTGCGCACCTACGTTTTTCACTCAAGTAAAATTAGAATCCTTATGGTTAAAAGGGTGTTGGTTGTTGTCTTCTACGTAATGGCATTTATAATCAGCTACCAGTGACCTTACATTACTCTCTCTCTCTTTTTTCGATTCTTTCTCTCGTTTGAAGGATTTTGATGACAGCGATTTTTCGTTATCATCAATCGAAGAGAAGACCAAACCAACCCAACTAACGCGGTAAGATACTTTTATCTGAAGTCTTGAATAACGCCATGTAACCTTTACTAAAAATATAGGCACACTGTAACATATTGAACGCCTATAAAATAATATAAGTTTACTCGTCTACTGATCGTCCTGGGTTTTTTTCCCTCCAGAGCCGAGTTAAACAGAACGGGAAACCGCAATGGTAAGCCTTTGATTGATATATAAATATATTTTTTTATTAAGCTTTAGCTGTTGTATCGCAGGGTAGTACAACCACAACAGAGCTTAGTCCAGAGCTGGACCGTTATTTATTGGTGAGCGGGCGGCGGAGACAAGCTGTTTTCATTTTATTTAGATGTAGCAAAGTGGACGCGATTTAAGATCACAGCGCAAGCTCGTTCTTTTAATATCAACTTTAAGACCGAATTTCACCAAACCTATAGATTCAACCCCAATAAAAGCAATAGACCTTTTTCTCTAGGTTGCACGCTTATCCAAGTATAAGAAACTTGATGGGCTACGATACCAGTACAAGAGCTTTATAATGAGAATTATCATACATTTCTATGAGATTTTTCGAGAAGAATTCGTGAAATCGATTATTCTCTTTATAAATATAAAACTCTCAATTTTATGGCTTCTCAATTTTACTGAATTTGCGTTTTTCAGTTTTGTGGCCCGTCAAGTTAGATGCACATGCAGCCTTGGCAAAACAGTCTATTGCCTTGGTGCGCGCAGATATTTTAAGCATAATTACAAGAAATATTCTCCAATTCAGGGTTTTAAAAATGTTTCCCATTTTAATTTCAGAATCAACTCCAGTTCCTGCACCTCGTTCTCGACCTAACCCCAGCCCTCGGAAGGATGCCCCCAGTTCGTCTGCAGTTGAAGCCTTCTCAGTGGATGATATATCAGACTTTGATGATAGTGAACTGGAAATGCATCACCTTTAAACAGAAATTTATCAGTTATTTATTATGTGTTATATAGTTTATGTATAATTTTTCTATTCTACCGCTTCCACTTTATTAGAGCAGTGATTGTACGAGAGGAAAACGTGATACTGACTCATGAGTTCACATTATGACACCTCAGTATTGAAATTGTATTCCACTGTTTTATGATAATTACATTAAGATATGGCTACAGATCTACCTTATCATTTCATATTTATACTAAAACCCCTTTAATGGACCCTTCATAGAAATAACATAGAAATACCAAAAGAAATGGTATGAATTCCATCTAAGCCTTGTATGCATGATACGTTTAAGAAGTCTGGGTCCATTGGGTATGTATAATTTATATGCATCATGGCCTGGTTGTTTAAAGCAGGATAGTGATATCCAGCAGATAAATCCTTATCCATTGGATAAATTATGCTGTTATCCAATATATTTATCCACTGGATAAGATTTATCCGTCGGATAGCACTATGCAGGTATCTTACAACCAGGCCCAGTACTTGCTGTATTAGATGGTACTCCATTGTACAGACTTGCAAATTAAGACAATATTGCATCACAACCGCAACACGTCCAAAAGCAAAGCATTTCACCTTCCATTCCCATAATACTAGTGTTATTCCCACTCGAGAGGGTTAATTTCTTGCATGTAATATTCAAGCACTGTAATTGGTTGATTCGTGTTTTCTCACCCTTTGATTGGTCTAATGTGACAACCATATGGTGTTGCCTTCTTACATGATAGTGACCACAGTAAAATATCCATGAAACTTTAGTAATACTAAATAGCACAATTTCATGCAAATTCCATCGTTTTCTATTGTTTAATTAGCACTATTTTGTACTATTTAGTAATTAGTGTTTCATGGATTGTTTGCACTCTACCTACTTATAGGCAAAGTTCTACGTTCTTTGTAATCTTTGTTTCCATTTTCCTCATTTTCTAAATTGTCTAGTTATGCATTGAGTAATCATAAAGCACACGCTCACAACCAATCAGAGAACAAGATTAAAAACAGCTATTTTATACAAAATAAAACACTTTGTAAAAACATAGATGCCTAATCTTTAAATATATCAAATGGAACTATTAAAAATCAAGAGGTTTAATACTAGCATCTAACATAAATATTTTACAAAATGTTAATATCTTTCCATCTAAGACTTTGTACAAGCGCCAGTATTTTGGAAGAAAAGCTTTTAGAAATAAAATAATCAATTAAGATTAAGATTTTGGTAAGTAAATGACTGGTTTTGTCAGATTCGCATAACTGTCATATCTAAAAATTTCTGTCATATTCACATATCTCCGTCAGATTGGCTGGTCTCTGTTAGATTGGCATATATGGTGCATTTTCTTGCAGTTTGGCTTGTTCCATGTCCTTTGCCATCTTGCACCTTTTGCCTTCTTGCATCTTTTGCCATCTTGCACCTTTTGCCATCTTGCACCTTTTGCCATGTTGCACCTTTTGCCATCTTGCACCTTTTGCCATCTTGCATCGTTTGCCATCTTGCATCTTTTGCCATCTTGCATCTTTTGCCATCTTGCATCTTTTGCCTGGGCATACACAGCCACCCTCTGATCCTCCCTTGCAACTACCCTTTAACCGCACCCCCCCCCCCTACCCCAGGGCCAGTTATATTGGCCAACAATAGTGCTTGTGTAGTCCTTTATTTGCAGGAAAATACAAACCTCCGGTAATGAGAAGAGAAAATGCCCTGGATACAAGTCCTGGCCACAAGCAAGCTCACAAGTATTCTGAACTTGATTTATTTATTTCATTTTAAAATAGTTGATTTGCATTGTTCTTATGGCTGTACAGTATTGATTACAAAAACATCTATTCATAAAACAACCAAAAATGCCTAAAGACATCTCGGCCATTAGAAACATTTACAAAGATATTCCACTTTATGTGGTCCCAAGCAAAATTGCTTGCTCAAAGATATGGCTATGAAGGCCCACTTTGAAGGTCCACTTCACTTCACTTCAAAGGGAGAAATTTTAACAAACTTATCCCATACTGAATTTTGAGGCATTCACATGCTAAAGTTCTGTTTATATTTCATATTTCTGTTCATATAAGTTTATCACCCTTTTTCAATTTCAAAAAAGGGGATTAACTACCCTGAGTGCCAGAGCTCACGAAAAAAGATGCTGAAGATTAATCTTATGATAATGAAACCTAAGGTAGGAGCAAAAGAGACTATAAAACTCAAGGTAAGGAATAATTTTCCTATTATGTTTGCCCTATGTATTCGCCTTGTGATGAAATTATTTACTCATTATCTAAGGAAGTTTTCTTCTTAAACAGTAAAATTAGAAATAAATGTTCTAATAAATATCGGTGAATTACTTTAGTGTCAAATGAAAAACACCCAGAAAACTTCTGGGATAATCTTCATAAATTATTTTTTAGAGAAAAGATGCTTTAGTGGTGGAAACCATTGAAACAGAGGATGAACTTGGAAAGAAGAAAAGATGTCACAAGTAGAGAATTAGTTAAAGTGGAATTTAAATTGATAGCCATCACCGAATGGGAATCCGCCATGCTGGAAAGGCCATCCTCCACCACCTTGTTGATCAGGGTCAAGAGGATCTTCACCGTTATCATACTTTTGTCTTTTTTCTATGGAAAAACCACAAAAGAATCAATCCACTCCTGTTTGCTATTGGTCAAAACACCCCACTGATCTGGGTAGATAAAGAATTAGAAGAAGGGAGTGCCAAGAGTGTGAGCTGTGGTTAGGCTATGGTCCACTATGGGTATTTAAAACACATTTTTGAGTCTGAAAGGGGCAGCAAACCGTCATCCCAACAAACAGGCCACAAAATATCAACCATATTTTTTTTTAACATACAGCAAGCAAGCCACAAGCCCAATTTTATTGTGAACACCAGGATCCCTATGTTATGGTAATAACCACAGAATGACAAGCGAGTTAATTTGATCAACGCCTTTCGATGCGTTTCAATATGAAACGGTCTTTCCAGATAGGTGTCCTGTTGGCCATAAAACAAAACATAAAACAACTTCTCCCACTCTTAATCCCCCAGAAATATTCTAAACATGCAGATCTGAATGCATCCAAATGCAATAAAATCGGGCTTGCGGCTTGTTATGATGTATTGGATGCTTACCTGGATCTGTTAGAACCTCTTTGGCAGCAGCAATGTCAATAAAATGTTTCTCTGCTTTCTTTTTCTCCTGGGGTTCTTTGAACTGATCAGGGTGCCATTTCACTGCCAACTTACGATATGCTTTTGTGATCTCTTTTTTACTGGCATTCCTAATTTTTTGAAATGTGAACAAAGTTATTACATCATCATTACTACCATCACCATCATCACTATGTCATCATTATCATTATCACCATCATTTTATTACCATCATCTACACTGTATTACCATCATCATCATCATAACCACCTTTACCATTATCGCTACCATCACTATTGCTACCATCACTATTGGCAGGAGGCAGTAGGAGGCAGCATGGTCGAGTGGTCATAGGGTCGGTCTCGCAATCCGGTGGTGCCGGGTTCGAGTCCCGCTGTGGCCACTAACTGAGACTGTATTTGTTCCGATTCCTGACTAGTTCAGATTCAGTTTCTCGACCATGCTTGTTAATAGCCAACTGGTTTGCCTCCTTGCCAGTTGGGATTCTTAACACGCTTTATGTTCAATTAATCTTTCATTTCAGTTTATTTATCGTAGGAGGGCCATAATGGAAACTACTGGGTCACCAGTAATGTATGTCACCCTCGTTAAATAAAGTCAATTTATTTATTTATTGCCATTACCATCATCACTATGTCATCATTATCATTATCACCATCATTTTATTACCATCATCTACACTGTATTACCATCATCATCATAACTACCTTAACCATTATCGCTACCATCACTATTGCTACCATCACTATTGCTACCATCACTATTGCCATTACCATCACCAACATCACTGGCATCTGACAATCATATTTTATTTAACCAAAACCAGATATCATCATCACTACCATCTGATCACTCTCGCGGTTGCTACAAGTTTACCTTTTTATTCCAAGTATTTTATAATAATCTCTCTTCTTTGATTGTTTAAGGAGTCTCTGGGCTCTTTCCAAGCCTTCTTGAACCTGCAGCATTCAACACAAGGAAACGTAATGTAATTTTTACTGCCAAATTACTAATACCTACACAAAAACTGTGAATGAGGCTTATGTCCAAAGTGCAGAAATGAATAGCTACGACAAATTATTACAGTAGCACCAGGTCACAACAAACTTTGGCCTCACACAAACACACATAGATTGAGCTGGAGAGGGAAAGGAATAGAGTAAGGGTATCTCCCTCTACAGCTATACAGCCTATATTATTAACAGTTCACAAATATTTCTCTGACATCATACCTTATGTAATTGATCATTGATATTCTTGGCTTTCTGGTAATCTTTAACTGCTTCACTAAAGTTATCTTCTAAGATATGAGCCTCTGCTCTGTCACACAATGCATCTACATCATTCTCGTTTAGCTGTAGGGCCAAGTTACACTCTTTGATGGCTTCTTTGGGTGCATGAAGCTGAGGAAAAATCAGAGTATTAAGATTTAGAAAATATGAAATATGATATATACTAATAATTATAAATAAGGATCCAAATGCAACTTAGTACCTTGACATGACAGTGACAAAGTTGTCTTCTCATTTTTCCAACAATAGGACGAATATGAGCCTCTACTTTGAGAGCTTTCTTTAGCTTTTCTGTCGCTGCAGCATACCTTGATGAAGAAAAGGATGATCATTAGACAATTTTATGGGTAACATGGGTGGTGTACAGTGCTAACGTGGCATCTTTCACCACTGAGTCCAATGGGTTGGGTCACTGGCTCGAGCCCTGTGGTCACCAAACTTGAATTGAGTTTGTTTTTTTCTCCTATGCTGAAAGGGTTTTCACTAGTTTTCTTCCTCCTTCAAAAATCAACATGTGAGTTGAGTGTTGTGTACATAGATCAATGTAGTTGTAGTGTGTGTGAGTGAAAAGTGTCCCCAATAGAGGACAGAACAAAAGAATTTCAATCTCATGAGAATTGGAAACTTGTTGAGCTGCATTCTGACGTGCAGCAAGGAGTCTATTACACACCACATCCCTTCTTAACTCCTGGACCTGTCTTTCAACTACTTACTCTTCTTTATTAATTAGATCTTGAGCACCAGTAAGCAGCTTGTTTAACTTCTTCATTTTCTGTGAACATATCAAGCAATGTACAAAATGATTATAATATTGTTTGCTTTAATAATGCAATAAGAATTTAATAATAATAATTAATAATAATAATAAATAGTAATTCAATATTACTGTCAATAATGTCATACATTATGAAAATCTTTCACACTCACTTTATAAAATGGATGGCATTCTTTGTGGTCTTGGTCAAGCTTAAGACACTCACGGATTTCTCTACATGAAAACAAATGGAAGACAGTTTTGAGTCTGTAAGTAACAAATAAAACAGCTTCTTTCCTGCTCTGTTCAGTAACGAAGCATGTAGGAAGTGACGTAAGCATGGAAAAATTGTAAGGAAAAGCATGAGCTGTAGGCCAGTGCTTGTCACACTTCTTGAGTGCTTATGACGCTTCCTTATTGCTTTATTTCTAAACAGAGCATGCTTTATCATATAGCTACTTGTTTTTTTTTTCAATATTGAATTCATTTACCCAAAAAGAAAGACGGTCGCAGGATCTAGCAGCCCTTTTGTGCGCAAGAAGCAATCACAGTTTTTGACCAATCAGTGGTGAACATACTATCCTAACTATATGTAATAAATTCTATTACAGTACGCCCCTCAAAGCTAGGGGGTTGGGCACAGGGCTAATTAATGACCCTGTCTGGTAAAACAATCGTTACGGAAACGGCAGCAAAGGAAAAGACTACAGACAGAAGTGGTCATCCTTTGTTGCTGCCCTATACTGCATGCCAAAAGACATAATGCATTGGCGGCAAGTAAGATTCTATTAACATGACGTAAGCAAAGAAATACCATAGAACTAGAGAATTTCTGTTTATTAGTTAGGTTATTTATTAGGTTTTTTTTTTTTTAAATATAGGGTCGAGTTTAAAAACTCTTTTTGAAAGGAGCTAGGACCTACCTTAGTGCATCCTCCAGTTCTCCCATCTCATAATGTAGCTGACTCATCCTTAAATACCCTTGTGTATTATCATTGATTAACTTGGTTGTTGGTCTGAAATGAAATTATCACAATATTAAATACAGTTTGTGTTAAAAATAATACTAAAATAATTATTCACCTCAGGCTCTGTGAATATTGGCGAATATTTACCTCGCCGCTCAAAGACTCGTGTCTCAGTAAATATTCCCTGATATCCATTTTGCCTTTGGCAAATAATAATTCATCGTTAAATATCTAGTAAAGATAAATATTATAGGACCTACTTAATATCTGATATAGCTTTGACGAGGTCTCCTAGTCGTTCATAACATTCTGCTCTCATTAATCTTAGTTCAGGATCCCATGGAGCAACCTGAAAAAGATGAAACTTCAACATTAAACTGTGTAGTGGGTTTTTTCGGATATCTAACTGCACCTCAGATTGTGAGGGTTTGAGACAGCAACGATAGATTGCGTGATTGCAGCTATACCTCCATATCCTTTACAATTATAATGACTTGGATTCTTCAATTGTGAGCATATGAGAATTTGTTGATCTGTCTGCTGCATTTACAGCATGGCTTCCAACACATTGTGTCAGTCATTTTGCATGTTAAAATAGTGAATGGATTAGAATGAGAATTTTCATACAAAATGCATTATGCATTATGCATGCACAGACACATACCTCAATTGCAGTTCCAAGAAGTTCTATTGCATGTTGGCAATCTCCTCTTTCTATTGCATGCTTTGCATCGGCTACATTTCTTTTGACTGGTTCTATCACACTGAGCTAAAATCAAAAACAATATCAGGTCAGATCAAAAACATGCAAGTCTACAGTCATACCTACCCTACCTCGCATGAGTACAACAGTAATATATATGGAGCAAAGCGGATTAACCTAGATTAAAATTAGAATTAAAATAACAATACCTATGGCAAAGAATTATACCAACAAAACCTTAAAATCGTATCAAATCCTCAAACAACCTTTGGACTGATCAAATCGTCAGGGCATGGTTTATTCACAGATTGAATTTTAATTTAGCATGTTAGGTTTTGCAGAGGAAGAAAAACAAGGAAATCCCCTGTAAAACCATTGAATCAAAGTGAAGACCTAACAAACTCTACTCACATGCATTGCAGAGTCCAGGGATTGAGCCCCAGACCCCAGAGGTTAGAGGTGAGTGCACTAGCGCTAGAACACCCTTGATTTCCATCATACAGTGCTATTAATGTCAATAACAAGTGATGTTGATAGGGAAGATGTCTACTACTACTACTACTAATAATAATAATAATAAGTGTCTAATGTCAGTGATAATATCAAGTGAAATGTTACTAACCTGTTGTAATGATTCAGGATTATCAGGACTATATCTTAACTAAAAAAAATAAGGTAAAAATATATCAATTAAAAAGGAAATATCACATCAAAATCTGTACTTATTTTGATACGAATCAAATATAAAGACTTGACATCTGATAGCAGTCTAGAATGACATTTCATCAATAGTTTTTTATGCTTTTTATTATACTAAGACTCAGAATCTTACCACAGCCTCATAGTCTATGTGTGCTTCGTCCAGACAACCTTGCTTTAATAATACATTCCCTCTTTGTAATCTAGCCTGTTGAGAAAACATTTTGATTATGATGAATGACTGAAGAATCAATAAGCCGGTGATGTCATTGTAGCCGGAAAAAGGTTTTGTTTTCCAGTGAACTTGTCAATATGTGATATCACTATTCATCCAATAAAAATGCTCTGACATGACATCATCATCATGATCAAGGCATGTCATGAATGGTGAGGTCTTTACAGACATAAAACATACATATAGATCTGATCTACTATTGACTTCATGTAAAAAAAACATAGAATGATAAAATACTGCTACTTATAATCACAAAGAGAATATTAAATTACAATTCTATTACCTGGTAAAATTCTGGTTTAAGTTCTAACACTCTATCTAAATCTGGTAATGCTGACTTGGACCTTCCAAGTGCCATAAATACAGTTGCTCTTTGGAAGTGTGGTAAGAAGTTTTCTGGATCTCCATCTGCAGTGGCAAGATACAAATTATATAGTCAGGTACAATCAATCAATTAGCCAATCTTTAGATTATGTCGTATGATATAGAGGATATCTTCCAAGCCAGATGTTAATGATTAAATGTAAGTCTTTGTGAATGTGATATGGGGATATTGGACATTATCTGGTATGATTCAATAGCCAATCTGAATGCAATTTATCGTAAGATATAAATAAGCTAAGAGCATAAATATATCTTATACAAAGTTGCAAAATAAAATTAAAATTCATAAACATAATAACAAATCAAAACTCCTAATAATCATAATATAACAAAACAAAGATATCAAACAGGTTTGAAATATGATGATTAACGTCTATATAATTGTCATAGAAATTATTTTCTTGTTCGTTGCTACATAAACGATTTTACGATTGAATGTATTAATCAGTGCTGGCAACCCCTCATTGGATAAAAGTAAATATGCATTGAACATTAATTCTGAATCAAAAATTTGATGATTCAGGCTTCCAGTACTTTAAAGATGCTAAAAATTCATGCTGTTATAAATTACTGCAAGAAGTTGATGCTATTTTGAGACTCCAAGATTAAAAAATGTAAAATAACAGCGATAATTCGAAGTCTTCGTTCCTTCTTCAGAAGCTTATAAAAGCTGTTTACATTCTATACTTTAATTTCTGGTTATCTTTCAAAACTTTACCAAGTTCTTTTGAACAAGATTATCTGGTAAGCAGAATGAATGTAATACAAGATTTTACTGATATGTGTACTTAATTGAAGACATGTAGTTGTCAAAAATTATCGAAATCGTCAACCCGGTAGTAAAACAAACCACGGAGAAAGAATGTGTAAGATAATCTCAATTACAAAATTATTAAGATCTTTGAATAAGATCAGATTTTTTTATTTAAATACGGCTGTTATTGATTTAGATTTACAAAATACCAATTCTGATTTATATAAATTAAGCTTGATATCATAATTTTTTATTGGGCTGACGTGCCTATTTAGTACGTGAACTATCAATAGTACGTATGAAGAAAACTTTCTTCAACAAAACGAAACAGAAAAGCAATGATTAATATAAAATGAGAGCCTTTTCTCTTACCAACAGCAGCATGGTAGTGTATCAACGCATCGTTTAACTGTCCTGAAGATAATAACCTCTTCCCCTCATCTAAATGTCTCTGGACCTCTACACCAGATAGTTTGCCATAGGCGGCTAAAAACAACAAAAATATGAGTGATTTTTTTGCTAATCGTGAACAATTTCCAACAGATCACGTAGGGTAAAGGCTAGATTACTTACCCTTAAAGTCTATTTCAATGGTTATGAAGAGAATGGAAGATAAAACTCTGTATATTGGGGACATTTTTTCATTTCATTTATACTTGTTGGATTCTTGTTGATTCTATGTACTAAAAAACACGACCACTGACCTTATTTACACCAGGCGCAGCAGAAGCGTGGTGAGCGATGATTGGTTGTAGCAGACAAAGAAAACTTCTCCTAGCCTTACTATTAGGGAGGAGAGGGTAAATAGAGCGTGGTCATAGATTTTTTAATTCAAACTTTAAACTTTCTTTGAATGTGTTCTTTTAAAAGCTAGATAACACCAACAAAAATTTGATTTATTCATGAGAACTTACTCAAGAAGGAGCAAAAGATTATAGGGAAAGAAAGAATGTCCGAATAAACTTTTCCAATTGTTATATCCTTTTCTCGATTTTTCTGCATTATATATATTTCCAAATCTCAAAAAGTGAAAGAATCCAATAAACTACGAATTTTAAATTAATTTTGTTTAAGTTGGGCTCGCTGTGTTCGGAACCGCTTCGCCAGAGGCTCGGAATTCGGTCGTACCACCCGTGAGCAGTCTTCCGACTTGAACACTAAAAAGACGCCGCAACGCCGCAGCAGTAGCGCAGCAGTACATTGAGGACAGTACATACATGGAGGGTAGTTGGAACCAAGCGCAAGTACCTAACAAAGTTTTTTTTTTCAGAACTTCAAATTACTCAATCGCAAGTAGGCGAAAACTGGACGCCTGGTTTCACGCCTGGTCTTGACTTTCTGTTCAGAACCACGCGACTGTCGTCAACGGCCGTTTTGAAAGCCATCCTTAACCTTGCACCCCGTTTTCTTTCACATCGAGTCATGTTTGCAAGATCAGCTTTTGACGTCTAACACCAGTTAACACTTTTTCTGCCCTAGATTCATGAGATATAAACTATTGTTTTTCGTTCCTTAAG